CAGGGGAGAGGCTCTTTGGAGCTGTCCCATGTCCTGAAGAAAAGCGGCTGATGGAGAAAACCTTCCAGGCCTTCAGCCACACCGCAGGGATGGGAAGCCCAAGGAGGCTCTGCTGGATAAGCTCTGGGGGTGGGGTGGGGCCCTTCAGAAATCCTGAAGGGTGGAGACCAGCCTTTGGGAAGGGCCACCTAAGCCTCTAGTTAGGCAGTTGAAAGGTTGGTCAAATAGGGGTTAGACCTACTTTTGGAAGGCAACCTGTGCATTTCCTGCCCAACACAGTTCAGGTTCGCACACAGGTGGCTCTCCTCTGTTTTCTGTTAGCAGGGCAGGGACATTCCCTGGCCTGCTCAGGCCACCCAGAGGGACAGGCGCCTCCTGCATGGGAGCCTTTCCCTGCCCAGCAGAACTGCCCTTCCCTCCCTGGTTGGTTGAGTTGGTCCTCCAAAGGCCTTCATGAGAAGAAAGAGGCTGTTCCCAGTGCTGAGGCCCAGCCTGCCGTGGGGTCTGAGCCCCGTCATGGCTGCCCTTGGGCAGGATCTCGAGGAGAAGGAAAAGAACCCCAAGAAAGAAAGGAAGTCGGGGTTTTTGCAACCATTTGTTTAGCAGCTGTTCAAAGCTGCAGCAGCATCGAAAAAAGTGACGTCCGCTCCTTGCACTGGCAACTCTTTGCAGCATCCCAACAGACACAGGGTCAGAATTCAGGCGCTTGGCAACCGGCCTATATTTATGACGGTTGCCGTATCTCAGGATCATACGATCCACCATTTATGACCTCCTCAGCTGGCTTCTGGGGAGCAAGTCAAGGGGAGGAGCCAGATTTACTTAACAGCTGCATGATTCACTTAACAACCCCTTTGCTTAACAATGGAAATTCTGGTCCCAATTGTGGCCATCAGTCGAGGACCACTTGCAGAGCTGAGGATGCTTCTCAGTCTTGGTAAGATGTGGCCTTCAACTGGTTCCACTAGCAGCCACGGGAGTTGAAGCTGCCAGAGTTGGGAAAGACTCTTTGGTCGGCCTTCCTGGAGGGAAGAGAGGGCAGCAGAAAGAGATCTCTGGCCCCCAGGGGTCTGTTATGGTGCCAGGACCAGGGGGAGACCCTCCCCAGGAGACCCTGCCAAGCACCCACAGAGCATGGGGGAGGGGTGCAGGGCCTCCTTCAAGCAACCATCCGGGAAATTGTTGGATATTAATACTTAATTTCCTCTTATTACCGAAAACAGACCAAATAGCCAAGATAGATTAGAAATTCAATTAGTAGCAAAGGAAATGAGAATGTTTATGTTCTGTTTCCATGACTGCTATTATTTTTATCAGCACACCGATATTATGATAAAATGGTGGTTTCACTACTACCCTGGCTACCGTGCCACCTTTCTTGCCCTTGCAAACCATGAGTGACCCTCGGTCCACGCTTTGCCCCAGAAGGGCTGTTTTTGATTGCCCTACCAGAGGACTGTGAATGTTCACCTCCCTCCTTCCACAATGGACCTGGTAGCCTTTGGGAGAGCATTTAGATTCCTGGGTGGGAGAAAGGGGTGCTCGTGTGTACAGCCTGTGCACCTGCAAGTCAGCGTTGACCCCTGGTACCTGCCTGGATGAACCCTTGCTGTGTTCTTGGCAAGGTTTTTGAAGTGGTTTCCCTGTTTGAGAGCCGAGAGGGACCGGCCTAAAGTCCTCCAGCGACTTGAATTCCGGAGGAGAACCTGGACTCCTAGTTTGTAGTTCAGATTCCTTCAGCCATTACCCAGATGTGACCCTCCGAATGAGGTTGGGCTCCCCTAGAAGATTTAAGATGGAAGCTGTAGGACAGCTGAGCAGCTGTGCAGGAATGCAGATTTTACGAGAAAGTTTCTGTCATCATTTATACAGATGCTAAAGATGTAAACTTCTGTTTCCCCAAATTGTTCTGTCTACTTACCAATGACCTTCTAATCCAAGAAGAGAAAATGGAGAAGAGCCAGGGCTTAGCTTTGAAACGCTCCTTTGCAGTCTGAGGCAGTTGGGGGCTCAGCTGAGTCCATGCTGCCATAGAGGTAGTCTCCAGTTAACGATGGCAATGAAGGCTGGAACTGCCAAGCGATGCAGTTCTAAAGTGATTGTCAGAATTTCACCAGGCTACTCAATGATGGCAATGATGGCATTGCTGGTTGGAGGAGCTCATGTAACCATGCTGACTTCCCAACGGCTTCCTCACTGCCATTAACAAGGAACATTTTGGGGTTCACTGCATCCCATGGGGACCAAAAAGAGTCCTTAGGACAGTATGACCGGCTTTTTACATTCGTGTTTCTCAATCTGGGCAACGTTAAGATGGGTGGACTTCAACTCCCAGAATTCCCCAGGCAACATGGCGACTGGGGAATTCTGGAAGTTGAAGTCCAGGTATCTTAATATTGCCAACGTTGAGAAGCACTAATCTCAAGGCCAGTCATACTGTCCAGAGGATTCTTCCCAACCCTTCAAATTGTCAGGCTGCAGGCGCCCAAGGACTGCTCTTTCTGGCACCTGTCGGCACCATCTTCACCTGTGTTGGCCAAAGCCCATTGGTGAGGGAAAACAGGACCACCGAGGGGAGCGCCTTCTCTGTTTCCTGCCAGGGAGACAGGTGACATATTGATGAGATGCAACAGCCACCACAGACAAACAAGGTGACTCCCGAGTCCCCAGTGTGGGTGTGACCTGAAATTGCCCCTCTGTCAATGCAGAAATCACTCCCTGAGTGATTTCTCCAGCTTGTCTTCCAAATGGCTGTTACATTTGCTTACATTGGCTAAAATGATTGACAGGAAATCCATCTCTTTCTCTCCCCAAAGGGATCAATGAGAAAAAAAAATACATTAGATAATTTTGTAAGATCTCCTCCTCCACACTGTGAAGCCATCTGGAAGCAGGTTTTGGTTGCCCACCAGGGAAAGGTTCTGAATGGTAGGAGCTACTCAGCAATAGCTTCTTCAGATGGTGGTAAACACTTGAGAAGAGGCCTTGGGCTCCTTAGGGACATATTTAGTCTCCTTCCAGTCAAAAGCAGCTCTTCTGTGGATTGAGGTGCAATCCCTCCCACGTAACACATCTTTGCTCGGAGCCAGTGAGGTGTAAGCCTGTGAAAAGAGCATCCTTCTTCCAAGGGCCGGTCCATCGCATTGTCGTTTGGTCTAAGCCCTCCTCCTCCTGTTGAAATCCCGTAAGAATAAGGAGCATGGGATATCCAGCCATCTTCGGCCATGGGACCGTGGTTGCTACTCCATACTGTGCCGCCACAAAACCACAGCTGGACTCCTTGTAATCAGTGAAGAATGCAACTGCTGTAGGGGGTGTCCCCCAATGTTCTCATGGAGAATATCCATCTTTATTATTTCATTACATCCTGCAGCCAAAAATGATGCAAATTTACTTCTGGAGCCTCTTTGGATCCACAGATAATAAAGGAGTCTCAACAACAATACTTCCGTTGCTCGTTCATCAGACTGAGTAGCTTACTTTATTGGGGCATCTCATGCCTCCTCTGGCTTTCCCCAGCACTGTCCCGGAGGAGGAAGGCTGAGCTGGCCACGAGGAGTGAGACCACCGTCTTCCCAGGACAGCAGCCTTTTGACTCCAGCCCAATGCGGACTCTAGATCAGGAATGTGCTGGGGTGGGGGGAGCTTGAAAATTGCTTTTCAGTTTTAGGTCCTTCTCTCCTGTCTTCCTTTTTATAAATAACTCCCGGAAGAAATAGGAGGTGAAGAGGGAGATTTGCACGTCTCCTGAGCAGGGAGTTGAAGCTGATGGGATTCTTCCCAGCCAGGAAGAAATTGGTCCTGGGTTCAAGAGCCAGGTTTCTGAGCAACTCTGTGTTGTTGTTTATTGTTTTCAAAAGGTCTCATCAATGCCTGGATAAAATTCTCAGTCTTAGACTTGGGTTTCTAGCCATTTCCTGACAAAATAAATCAAGAAAAATAGAAGCTTGATAGAGTAAGTAGGCATAAATTATGTATATAAAAACACATCTTCAGCATGCACCATTTTCTTTTTAAAGTACAGATGGAAGGGCAGCTCCAGAAGTCTCCCCAAGCCAACTTTGGAAGTGTGCTGTACACACAGATTTGCTCACAAATTTGGCTATAGGGAGGTCTGGCCATATCTCAGCCCACCAGTCCCTTCTGATGGACATCACAGCCACCTCAGGCAATGGAGGAGACCCTCCTAAGCCAATGGAGATGCTTCCAGCAAGGTTTTGAGGTGCAGCTTCACCGGTTTTTATTTGGCGTGGATTCCAGAGGTTTTCTGCAAAGCATAAATGATTTGGAGGCCATCCGATGGCTTCGTGGCAGGTCTCACCGTTCATCACCACACAGAGCAGTGCTTCTTAAAGACCTTTTGGGCACCTCCTGAGGCACCGGGAGCCATTTGCCACCACTTGTCTGTGGCCTGAGGATCCCGACTGAAACTTCTGCCGCCACCACTTAACAGCACCTGGGCTTTTGTGGGGGTAATGGTGGGGAGGAGGAGTTGGAGTCAGACAGAGGAAGGGGCTGTGGAGGTGAAGACCCTCCCCTTGTAAGGCTTAGAAAAATACAGCCCAATAGGCGCTGGTCTAGGAATGGGAGACCCCTGCCCAAGTCCTCTTCTCCCGTCCCCACTTTCCTCACGGGGGTGTTGTGGGGAAGAGGGGTGTGGGAACCACCTGAACTCCTGAATGAAAGGTAAAGGAATATACTAAAGAATAAACCATGAGCTCTTCTACCAGTCTGGAAGCTCAGGGTGGCCCTGAGTGGAGTCTGCTGCTCCATTGAAGGAGGCCTCTTGGCTTGCATCTCATCGTCTTTTTCTCTCCCTCCCTCCTCCTCCTCTTCCCCCACGCAGAGTGTCCCACGGAATATCCTCCGCACCTTCTCCGTCTCGGAGGAAACAGGAAGAGCTGCTGTCCCTGCAGGGAGGCCAGAAATGGCCCAGGGAGACTTGGGAGGGAACAGGAGTTGAGCAGCCCCCCTGGAGAATGAATCGGCTGCATGCGTTTTCTGCACCGCCTGGAGTCTGGCCCACCCTTGGCCTCCCGAAGGCTGCCCGCTCCTCTCTGCCATCACAGCCTGAAGAGGCCTGCAGCTATGGACACAGGGGTGCCCAGCCCCTGCCTTGAGCCACCCTCACCATGCTAGTGCCTGGGGACAAGAACTTCCTTACCGACGTCATCTACATTGCCTTTGAGCTGGTCATTGCCCTGCTGGCTGTCTTTGGGAACATCCTGGTCTGTTGGGCCGTGTATCTCAACAGCAACCTGCAGAACGTCACCAACTACTTTGTGGCTTCCCTGGCGATAGCTGACATCGCAGTGGGGGTCCTGGCCATCCCCTTCGCCATCACCATCAGCACGGGCTTCTGCGCCTTCTTTTATGGCTGCCTCTTCATCGCCTGCTTTGTCCTGGTGCTGACCCAGAGCTCCATCTTCAGCCTCCTGGCCATTGCCATCGATCGGATTATTGCTATCCGTATCCCTCTCAGGTAAATATGCCAAAGATGCAGAACTGAATCACAGAGTTGGGAGGGACCTTGGAGGTCTTCTAGTCCAGCCCCCTTCTGAAGCAGGAGACCCTGAATCATTTCATTTAAAAGCCTCCCGCGATGGAGCCCCCACAATTTCTGGAGGCCAGCTGTTCCACTGGTTAATTGTCCTCACTGTTAGGAAGTGCCTCCATAAGTCTAGGTTGCTTCTCTCCTTGATTAGCTTCCATCCATTGCACCTTCTGGTGCTTTGGAAAATAAGTTGACCCCCCCCCCCCCCCCCTCTTTTTTGCTGCCCCTCCTTTATTTAATGCTGCACCCTCAGGAGGGGCTTCTCTGCAGAATTCCAAGATTGTGGTCTAGCAGGGCCTGTGCCCAGGTGCATGTCATTGTCGTCTGCAGCAGAGCACTTCTTTCCTGGACATTGAGAAATAGCGCAGGTGTTTGCTGCACCTTGTGACATCTCAACCCTTGTCCCTGAATCAGCTGCCCCAGAGGCTAAAGGACAAGGGGCCCCAGTTCCAGGAGTCAACCCCACAGCAAAACTGCCCAGGAGAAAACAGCCATCTCCCAGCGCTTCCTTCTGGGGTCTGTTATGCAAGTAATAGCACCATCCTGAAATACAGAGCCCCAGCTTCCTAGCCAGGAAGACTCCAACAGGGTGCCAAGGTTGAGTGGCCGCACGGACAACTGTCAACCCCTTCCCTCTTGCACAGGCCTTAAAAGGGGCCCCAGGCGATTTCAGCTCAAAACCTGGGTTAGAATTGCGTGAAAGTGAATCTAGGAAGCTGTTTGTTCAAGAGTTTCTGGAGCTCTCTGGGTAGGAATGAGCGACAGTTGGAGAAAGGCAGTTGGAGAAAAACATTTAGAACAGCAATAAGCAATAGCATTTAGACTTATACAGCCCTCTCTAAGCAGTTTACCGAGTCAGCATCTTGCCCCGACAATCTGGGTCCTCATTATGAGACCTTGGAAGGACGGAAGGCTGAGTCAACCTTGAGCTTGGTGAGATTCGAACTGCCAAATGCCTGGCAGCCGGCCGTCAGCAGAAGTAGCCTGCAGTACTACATTCTGACCACTGTGCCACTCTGGCTCTTTAGATATATGCAAATGAAAAGAATCAAAATATTTGTTCCTTAATGGGGGCAATTAAATGCTATGAGCTAACAACCACAACAACAAAACAGACAGGCACCCAAATCCTTTTTTTTTGCTCCAGTTTTCACTAACACAGAGATAAATGCTTTCCACTAGGCCAGTGGTTCCCAACCTTTTTTTCGCCCCGCACCCCTAAAGAAATTTCACTCGAACCTCGCACCCCCTGAAATTTAGACTTTAGGAACTACTGAACGCGTTAAATATATGGTTCGATTGAATCTTTTCAGCTATGTACGTGACGGCCACTAAATAACGATACTTAACTCTAAAATGAAAACAAAGTCAATCCATTGCATAATAAATAAAAATGCCAACATATAGCCAATATCCTATTATTTACCTGGACTTTTCTCACACCCCCTGGAATATCATCTCGCACCCCCAGGGGTGCACTAGGCAATTGGGGAAAGGGGTGGAAAAAGAACCAAGGGGCGGAATTGAAGCTTGAGGTAAGGGAATATCTGAGTTTCAGTCAACCAAGAATAAACTAGCTGTTGAAAAGTTTTCTTTTTGGGAAAACCTGGACAACTTATGAAGTGAAAGAGAGCGAAAGAGGGAGAAAGGAATCTATGGGGAACTACCAATCTGACATCAATAGATTAGAAAGATCTGAAATTGGGAAGCAGATTAGGAGACTGACCTATAACAGCCTCAGTGAAATGCTGCAGATTTAATCTAATTTGACTGAGGTAGAGCAGGGCTATCGAAGTCAAGGCCTGCAGGATGCTTAGATCTGTCCCACAGGGCTGGCCTGGAAATATCAAAGTGCCTCTGCCGGCTAAAAGGGGCTGCTGGAGGGAGGGGGCTCGCGAGGCCTTCCACCACAGCCCCTTCTGGCTGCCAGAGTGCTGCAGGAGGCAGCGCCTTCCTTCTTCCCCTTCTCTTTAGCAGCATCTGCCAACCAGAACTAGGTACCCTCCAAGACTGGGTTATTTCCCCCCCACCCCCATATTCCCACCCAAATATTAACCAAGCTCAACTCTGCACAGCTTCTAAATCCAGATAAGGAGAGCCAGATGCTAAGCTTTGAACTACTGAGATAAGTATTGTATCTAAACCTTGAGACTCTGCCTGCTGAAACTTGATCTAATTTACCAGAGAAAATTTACCAGAGAATCAAATTTGAGTGAGGTGCAAATATCAGACCTAAAACTTTTGTTTTTCATGATTCTATAGTAATGATTCAGGTGAACAAAAACAGGAATGCTTAATAAATTTGCAGATGGCACAAGTACAGTGGGATTACTAGTATCCTAAGAAGACAAAAAATTTTTTTTAAAAAAAACCCACATTATTAGCACAGGTAAATAGGTTGAAAATAGCAGAACTAAATTTAACAGAGAAGGGTGCCAAGTTCTTCATTCAATGGAAATGGACATTAAGAATGTCTTGTTGGTTTTTTTTGTAAAGGAATAGCAATAGCACTGCTTTTATTTGTAATAAATGTTACTCCATATGGGGTGCTCTTTCTTTAAGAGCTGACATGAATTGCAGCCCCCACCTCTGCAGCCTTTGATCCAGCCCAAACAGTTTTTACTCCTTCCTGATCCTTCCCTTTTTCAAACTCTCCTTTTATTGTCTTTTTGGGGGGCTTCACACCACAAAACTGTGCAGTTGCCTCCGAACTCCCGGCAATGGGTTCTCCTCAGGCTCCTTTTTGCAAAACTGCCCACCAAACGTAATTAGACAGGGACCACTTTTATTTTCATTTATTTATTTTATTTGGGAGATTTATCTGTCTGCCACCTCCGGTTGATTTCCTCCTTGGCTTATCACAGTTTCCTGAATCCACTCGAGCAGATTATTGTCACGTTCAATCTTTCATGAACGTGGCTCTTAGAAATCCCCCTTTGACTTCACTTTAGGAGCCCGGAAGGGATCGTCTTCCATTACCAACACACACACACACACAGGCTGCTCGATGGCCTCTCAAATGGCCTGTCTCCCAGCAGACCTGCCCCCAGGGATTGCAGGAGAGAATTCTCCGAGAGCCTCTCGGGACCTTTCAAAGGCAGGAAGATGGGCTGGGGGCACGGCCTGTGTAGACTGCATCTCTGCCAGCAACGGGGAGGGGGAACCGGCGGGTCCCCTGGCTTCCCAGTGAGGCTCCTTCATGCCAAGGCTTTGCCCAGGATTCTTGGCTCAGGAACGGTTCACCAGTTGGGGTGGGGGGCAGAGAAGCCATCTGGGTTCCCCTTCTTCTTCTTCTCCGACTCCAGGAAAATGGAAAGCGGAGCCCTCCTTATAAAGGATTTTCAAACACAGAACGTGGCACTGAATGCTTCACACCCAGGAGGCACCAGGTGTTCATCGGGCACATAAGCTTGTGAACATTATTCATGTTATATCCAACATCAAGATTGATCCTCTAAAAGTCACTTTTCTGGAAACTCTGTTTTGTTTTTTAAAGCAGCAGTGTCTTTAGCAAACAATTGCCGGTTCTTTCACAGCACCTCCAGATGTGGAGGTGCTCAGTTTGCCCCCCTCAATTTGAGAAGGTGGGGCAGACCAGCAGCCCCCAACCTCAGGAAGCAGAACGGGCCCATCGGCCTCCTCTCTTGCATAGGTCAGAGGCCGTGTGATCAAGACTCATCCAGGCCCCAAGGCAGGACGTGCACAAAGACGGAAAGCGAAATAGCTTCCCTTCCCTTCCCAGGGCCTCGATTAGAGGAGTCAGCCATGGTTTGTCTGGGAAAATAAGCCTACATTCAGTCACCGATTGTATATTCCTCAGAAGGGGCTCCTCGTCTCTTCTCAGCCCTTGTTTAGGCTTCTGCTCTTGGCAGGCCATGGGCAGCAAAGGAGGATGGAGCTCGGAAGGCAGCTGGCAGGGGCTCCAACCAACGGATCAGGGCAAAGATGCCTCCGCCTGGCAAAGGCCCCTCTGGGCTTGTCCAAATAAAAGTAGGACCCCAGTGACCCTGAATTTGTTCTTCATTTTTAAAATCAATTTATAATAGTTGTAAGCTGTCTTTTGGGACAAGGACACCCTTCCCTTGTTGAGCCTCCCCCCCGACCTCTGGAGCAGGCAACCTCCGAGGTCCCTCGGCCCTTTTGTGGAGCCCCGGGGAGCTCCAGCTGGAACAGGGAGAGTTTCCAGGGTTGATTTGAAATCTCTTTTTAAAGGGAAAAGAATATATAATCAGCACGGGCAGAATAAAGCTCCTCGGGTCGTTGGTTCCAGTTTTATGTCAATCATCAATTCACATCATCCTCATCTTCATTACAACAAATGCCACCTGAAACTTGATTTCAGTGGACTTGGTTGTATTTGGGTCTGCATGTGCACTGGGGCAATGTTGGGTTTCCCCTCCACTCCACTGACATTGTCGAGGGGGTGGGCATTGATCCTGCCCCCAGGCCCTCCACCCCTTACAGCTGGGAAGGGATTCTGGCTCCGCCTTAAAATGGCCTCACCTTCAGGGCTGGGAACTGCAGCCGTGTGAATGAAGTCTGCAACAGGCACCCTCACCATTCTGGGGTTAAGTTTCCAGAATTCTTTGGGGAACTCCGCAGTGAACAAATCCCCAGATTATTTACAGTGTGGATAGAATCACAAATCCCTGGTTTCCTGTTGATAGAGGAACCTTTTAGGATGAACTTAACAAAGCTTTTTTTTTTTTTGTAAATTTTATTTGAGTTTTCACAAAAAGAAAAGAAATACAAGTAAAACATCTTTTTTTGAAAGCAGCATAATCCCGGGTTACATTTCTTTGTACAGACACAAATTCAGGTTCATGCTCATTTTTATATTCTATTCCATATCTTATTACTATTTTACATTTTCTGCATAGCTTCTCCCCTCTTTTAATTTTCTCAATTTTATTTTAATTATCTCATCTCAATTCAAATCATTATATTTATATTTTTTGTCTGTCCTGTTTCAATTGTCTATTATCTTTTCTCATTAAACAAAATTTCTCCTGTAGTTACTGATTGGAGTATGACGCCTTTATATCTTTCCCCTAAAATTATAACACTCAATATAATACATAACTTCCATTCGGATTCTGCTTGGTACATTCTTAAACTACACGCTGTATTCTTAAAAAAAGAAAAAATTATAAATGTATAATATAATTAAAACAACATTCCATTCCAATTCAATTCTATCATTAATATTAATATTCATTAAAATCTTAACATTTTTCACGTTACTTTTCAATTAAATATCATACTTCTATGGGAACAATTATAAACTTTCCATAGTTAATTCCCACCCCCCTCTTCACTTATATTTTATAAAACATTGACTAATTAAAATGTTCCCGTTCCTTCCTAATTCAATTTTCTCATTTATTTTATTTCATTTATTTTATTCACAAACATTTCACTAAATTATACTATTTTATCCCTCATTTTAATCTAAGTTTTTTCCAATTTTCTAAAGTTATTTCTATTACAAATATATCAATACAATCTTATGTACCTTTACAGAATCCCTTTTTCAGTTAGATTTTCACCCATTATCTCTAAATAGGTCCTGTTTCTTTATATCTTGCTCCAGACCTTTGTAACTTCTTTTCCTTTCCTTCTTCCCTCTCTTCTTCTCTCTCTCCTTTTTACCCCTTTGTCTCTCTACCTCTATTTCCCTCTTCTGTATTCCCCTTTTCTGTTGCTGTCCAGCATTATACTTATTTTTCAAGTTATTTTTCTTTTCTTTGGTTGTTTTTTTAAGTCTTAAATTCTCCATTCTCTTTCCCCCCTTTCCTTTTTCTTCCCCACCTAGAGTTACTTGTTCATTAAAGATGGCTTCTTCTTTGTCCCAGTCTTCTTGTTTTGCAGTCTTTTTTTGTTGTTTCTCATAGTTCCAGATCTCCATTTCTAAGAATTGAAAAACGAAGCCAAAAGAACCCTTCCCTTTTTGTGCATCTTCTTTGTACTTTTTAACTTCCATTTTCAATTCATCCAGAAGTGATGCCATTGTAAAAAATTTAAACAACCACCCAATTGGTTTTAGTCATTCAAATATAATAACCAAAAATCCAAAAGGCACCAAGCAATCCAAGTACACGCAAGCTGTTTCTTTTTACCCTTTCTTTCTTTTTTAACTTTCTCTTCCTGGGGTTACTATTTAGTTGCAAAGTTTCAGTTAAAATGTATCTTTTAGAAGTCTTATTGAAATTTTACTTTAGATTATTTTGAAGTCCAGGCAGTCTCCTCCCTCTTCCAGATCCTGCCCTTGTTCTTTTTCTCTCCCTTCCTGCTTATAGAAGAAAAAGTTTTTAATGTCCAGATATCTTTATTGTCCCTTTGGCATTTAGTTATATTTTCAGCTTTGCCTCTTGATGCCAAAGCGGGTTTTTCCGATTTCTTATTTAGGTCTCTTAGTTGTCAATGTAAGGAAGGAGAGAGAAGAAAAAAAAAGCCAAACCTTTCCCTTTTCACTTTCTTTCGCTGCTTCCGACTCTTCTTTGGGAGCGATGTTATTTTTTGTAAAATTTAAATTCCAGGGTACCTTAGTTGTTGCTTTTTCAACTTAACCCGGTCAGCCAAAACTTTCACTTCTTATCTTCCTCCTGCACGTTCTTTTCCGGTTGAGTTCTTCTTTGAGGTGGCCATTTCTGACCACCACTCCTACCGCCTTCGGGAAAGGGAGTAATGGCCAGCTGAGGAGGAGAGATGCGGCTCTCCTCGACCCTGTTGGCAGTCTCCCCCCTCTTCGCCACTTCTATGGGGTGGCTTAGCCCCGAAACCAGCCGGCTTGGGGCGCTCCAGCGGCAAGCCCAGGCAGAAACCGTGCACGATCGCGGATTCCTGTCTGTCACCGAAGCCCTTCAAACCGGAGGTCCCCCAAAATTTTTTTTTTTTTTTTTTTTTTAAGGTTCTCAAGTGTAGGGTTCAGTTCTCACCTAGTCTAACACTTAGACTTATATACCTCTTTACAGCCCCCTCAAAGCAGTTTACAGAGTCAGCATATTGCCCTAACAATCTGGGTCCTCATTTTACCCACCTCGGAAGGATGGAGGGCTGAGTCAACCTTGAGCCAGTGAGAACTGAACTGCCAAATTGCAGGCAGCTGGCAGGCAGCAGAAGTAGCCTTCAGTACTGCACTCTAACCACTGCGCCACCAAGGCTCTATCTATCTCTCATGAAGGATCTAATTGGAACTGAGGAAAAGACCAGGCATGGCTGGAGATCTGGATTGAATCCCACTGTCAGTCAGTCCACACAGTGCTGGCCACACCCCACAGCTCCAGATCCCAGCTCTCTCCTGTTGCGATGGAGTGATTCTGCAGCAAGAAGAAGCTGGAATCTGGACAAATTCTATCCATTGATCCCGTGTAGATGGGGTTTCACGCCTTGCCTTTCTCTGCTCTTCTTCCAGGTACAATGCTCTCGTGACCAGCTCACGTGCCAAGGGAGTCATAGCCATCTGTTGGTTCTTATCCTTCATTATTGGCCTGACGCCAATGCTGGGCTGGCACAAGAAGCCTCTGGAAGAGAATGGGCCAAGTGAGAATAGAACCAACTGCAGCAGCAATATGATGCATTGCTTCTTTGCGACTGTGGTCACCATGGATTACATGGTCTACTACAACTTCTTTGCATGTGTGCTGGTTCCTCTCCTCCTGATGTTTGGGATCTACTTGAAGATCTTCATGACGGCCCGGCAGCAGCTCAAGCAAATGGAAAACAAGATGATGCATGGAGAGCGATCCCGATCCATCCTGCAGAAAGAGGTCCACGCAGCCAAGTCTCTGGCCTTCATTGTTGGGATGTTTGCCGTCTGCTGGCTGCCATTACACTTGATCAATTGCTTCACCCTCTTCTGCCCCACTTGCAAAGACCCTCCCCCCGGGGTCATGTACCTGGCCATTATCTTATCCCACGCCAACTCCGTGGTGAACCCCCTGATCTACGCCTACCAGATCCGGGAGTTCCGCTGCACCTTCAGGAAGATCATCCAGCGGTACATCCTGTGCAGGAAGCAGGGCTTCAGATCCGCCACCGCCAGCCGGAGGACTTCTGCTCATGACGGGGAGACCGAAAACATCACCCTACAGATCAGCAACTATTCGCTCAACTTCTCCTCCAGCAGAGACTTCAGCAGGATCCACGGGGGCGGTTCTGGGGGGCAAAGCATCTGCATGGAATGGACCCCAAGCCAAAATGGACTAGCCGGAGAAGTGAATGGACACCTTGTAGTTTCCTGCAAAAATGGGGAGCTCCAGAAAAACGGAGCCCCTTAGCCAAGAGCCTCTTGGGGTTCCTGGGTTTTATGGCGATGTGAAGGCTTCATGGGGAGCCTCGAAGGCATCCTGAAGATGGTGGGGCTGAATCTTCCTGGGCTGCAACTAACGGTGGGAATCCTTCTGAAGGGTTAGGGGAGAAGAGGAAGAAGGCACCAGAACCAGGCAGGAACCTTTGCAGGCGGAGGCCCAGCAAGCCAAGGGGTTCCCTACATACTTCATGGATGCTTAAGGGGTCTTGGAGGAGGGGGGAGGGGCAACAGCCCACGTGATCATACCAGTCGGTGGCCAAATTTTGCCACAGTCCGGATGCACTTGGAGAATCAAAGGAAACGGCACGTTTTGCTGCAGGAGGGAGGGAAGGCTGACTAGTGGCCACCGAGTCCATCTGGCTGCCTGGCCGAAAGCCCCAAACAACATTGTGTAAATGCCACTGTTTGTGTAAGAACACAAAGTAGAGCATTCTTCAGTGCAAACTCCTTGCTGTCCGGCTCCTCTCCTTCTACTGGGGATTTGGGGGCACAGAGGCTGCTCAAGTGGGGGGCGGGAGAGCAAAGCTTCCTCCCCGTTGGGACTCTGGCTCAGGTCCAGTCCAGGGGCAGAGCGGGAAGGGGGCTGATACGGAGAAGAGAGGAGGGAACCCCCACCAGGCAGCAGGAGCCGCTCGAAGGCCGTGGCTGTTGGGAGACGGAAGAAGGGTCTTCTGCAACCAGGATGTGATGGGGGGGGGGGTTGTTGTCTCTCAGGATCCCCGAGGACCCAAATCCATCTTCCCAGGTTTTTTCTTGCTGCTGGGTTTGCTCAACCTGCCGCCTGTCAGGATGCTTCTTCTCCCGAGTCTTTTCTGCTTTCTCTCGAATTTTTTTCTAACTAAATATTACACTTCTCTGCAGAAGCATAAAACAGACGTTCAACCATGAAAATGTGACCTGTCCAATACTGCCATTTTAATTGAAAATGCCCCCATAGACCGCTGCTTCCTCGCTGCTCGGAGAGGAAAAGCCAGGCTGAACAATTAGAAAGAATTGTGAGCTGCCAAGGAGTAGCGGGCATGGCTACCGTTGTGGGCAGTGGCAGGGTAGCCGTGATGGAGCCAAGGGCCAGTGAAGCCTGCAGGCCATGGAGGCCCTTGGCACGAGGCCTTTCAAGGCAGTGGTGGCAACCGTGGTAGCGGCGGGTTGATGGGGTTCCCAAGGACCCAAGTGAGCATGGGGGCTTGACAGACTGCGCACAGTTTGGGGGCCGTACATTGTGCAGGCCTCCCCGAAACTGTAGCTTGGAGGGTGCAAATGGAAAATCCTATCCCACATGAAGTTGAAACTTGGGACCCAGGTTGCTTTCCTGAGCATCTCTCCCCAAATATTTAATCTCCAGATATATTGCACTACAGTTCCCATAATCACCAGCCATGATAACTAGGGATGGTGGGGGTTGAAACCTGCTCTCTCTGGAGACCACTCACGCGGAGATTGCTTGGGGCGAGGAGAGGGTGAGAGAGCCCGTTGGGCCTCTTCAAAGCCACAGCTTGGCAGGGATCCCAAGAAGCCAAAGGCAACTGTTGCTCAACATCTGTGTGCTGACCCAAAGGGGCGTGGCACAAAGGCAACACAGTCAAATAAGCAAGAAGTGTCCATTTAATACCTCCAACTTTGCCCCCAATATCCAAGTTACCTTCAGCTGAAGAAAAAACTCTCCCAAGAACAGTCTTTAAGTGGAGGAAATTCAGTCCGAAAACAAAGTACATACGAACTGTAAATAAAAATCCACACAAACCACACTGCAGTCATTAACTTGACAGGGAAGGAGAAGGAATTGCAGATTTGAAAGCTGAGCAAAACACACACAGTTGGGAAGAAGCCAGGAACCCAGCCTCTACGATACCAGATAATTCACAATTTGCTCTCAACAACTTTGCTGTGTGCAGCTTCCCTTTTTAAATTGTGTTCCCAGCTGCAGCTAGTGAAGGGAATCAGGGCCCTTTCCTCCCCCCGTAAGCCACACAACTCATGTTGCTCCCTTTTCCGTTCCTCCCTGCGTGCCCTAGGATGAAGAGGGGGTGGGCCTGGGTCTTCCTCCGAATTCCCTCTCCCCTGTTCTACCTCTCTCCTACTCTGTCCAGCTGGCCTTTGCCCTTCCCCAGTTTCCTCCACAGCCAATGGAACCACACTCCCACTTCCTGTCAGCTGCTCGTCCTCCCCCCCCCCCCCCCCCCGCCCCTTCCGACAAGGGCATGAAAATCTTTCAGTGGGCAGTAGTCCGCATGGAGAGGAAGAGGTGCCCAGGCCACAATGGCCTTGTGTTCCGTGCAAGCAGAAGCCCACCATTAACAGTAGCCTTGTGCTGCTCCTTGGCACCTTCAACGAAGTCCTGGAAGGGTATATGGCCTTCCCCACACAAATCTGGAATTCAAAAAAAATCAAGGGATACGAAAGCTCCCTTTCCCCCCCCCCCCACTCCTTTCTGGCTGCCCAGCTCTGGCAAGGTAACCTGCGTGGATGCCGGAGGGTGGGGAGCTTGAAGGATCAAAGGCAAGAAGGACTGCAGCCCACCCCCCCATCATGATCCCTCAGGTGACCCTTCCCGCTTCTGTGCTTAAAGCCAAGCCAGCCTGGCAGAGCAGCCCCCGCCCAGCAGAGGGGCAGAGCCATGGGGGGGGGGGCTGCTGAGAAGAGAAGACCGATTCTGTCCCATTTTCCTTCCCAGCATTTTCTCTCCCAGCTTCCTCTCTCGGCTCGCTACAGAGCTGCTTTCCCAGCTGGAAGGGAGAATTCCTTCCTCATCCCAAAGAAGAAGAAGAAGAGTGCGCAGGTCAAGGCCGGCTCTGGGCCAATGAACTTGGGATCCCCCAGTGTGGGAAAATACCAGGCGTGGAAGGGGGGCTGACCTCAGGAAGTGCTCCAGGCTGAAGCATCAGGCTAGGAGGCCGGTGGAAGAAGCGGTGAGCCTGCCCCCCTTCCCTCCCTTCCTCCCTCCCTCCCAGCCCCTGACTGTCTCACCAAATGGCGACACACACACACTCCTCACCACCAGGGTCGCTTTTCCAAGCTAAAGCAAAGGGGAACCTCGGTGACACCCATGAAAAACGCGCGTCTTGGGGATGGTTGGCTGGTCTGGCAGGAAACGGGGGTGAGGTTGGGTGACAGAGGAAGAATGCATTCTCCGGACACACATTTCATACCCCCCCAAAGGATCACAGATGCCATAGCAATAATCCACAAAAGCAGCAGCCAGAAAGGAAGAGACGCCTTGAAGGAAGGCGTGGCACCATAAAACGGCTGATGAAAGGAATTTCAGTGCCCGAGTAAGGGTGACTAAGGACTTGGCAAAGGGGCCCCTTCTCTCCAGCCTGGGGCCCCCAGAGGGACGCCTGCCCTGGGTTGAGGAGGGGCTGGGCCCACTAAGCTCTTTCAGGAGGAATAAGCAGCACCCAGAGGGTGCTTCCCCACCAACTGCCGGGCTGCTGAGTCCTGATAAGAGCGGCGGCTGCGAGTGCAAAGAGGCGATAAAGCGGATAAAGTGGAACCTCCGGGAGCATCACTCCACATTCAAAACAGTGGGGGGCAGCTGCTTAATCAGCCAGCCAGCTACCCCAGACGGAAGCTCGGCCTTCGCCTTCTGCTGAAGCCATAAAGGGAAACTCGGTTGGCAGAAGGGCCCAATGGAGTCCAGGCTCCTGAGAGGTGGCCACCGAGAAGGCCAACCTGCTCCGTCCTTCTTAAGAGGCAGCTGGTTTTCCAAAGTGAGGCCTGCACGTTCTCCACAGTGATACCCGATGCATCCGTGGCAGCTTTATTTATCCTTGAAAGCCATCTTGGGCAGCTAAAGATGATTTCGCTGACGACGAGGCTGGGCAGCCCTTCTTCTATACTTTCAGTCAGTGACTTGGCTTGCAAAGGACGGGCTCTTTGGCGTGAGCTGCACTTCGAGGGAGAAAATGCTGCATTTCGCTCTGGGGAATTTACATCCTCTTTGATTTAAAGCCAATTTCCTTCTTTTCTTCCCTTTCTTTGGCTGCCTTATGCCGGATCCCCAAGACCATCCAAGCAGGAGGGGTCTCTCTGTCCCCCCTACGACTATAAAACTCAGGGTCTCTTCGGGCTTTCCCATTCCCATTTTATTTATTTATTTTATTTATTTATTTGATTTGCCAATTGTTTACAAGATAATAAGTATAAGTGTATACATAGTTGTGAATACATGAAATGGGTACATATAAGAAAAATAAAAGAATAAGAGAAACAATAGGACAGGGACAGTAGGCACGTTGGTGCGCTTATGCACGCCCCCTAATTTCCACTGGCTCAGTTATAAAATGAGCCAGCAGCACACACACACACACACACACACACACACACACACACCTGCTACTGTCCCATCCGGTTGGCAAAAAGCTGTGGGCACCTCCAGCTGCCTGCATTTCAACCCCAACTTTTCTACCATTCAGGGCTAACCGCGCACCTGGTGCAACCCGAGTTCGGTAGAGGCAACTTCCTCCCCTTGGTAGGAACTGATGCCACTAGTTCCACCGGAATGGTTGCGGGTAGGAAGGGTCGACTTACCAGGGGCTCATCAGCTTCACTCTCACCTGGGCTGGTCGGAGCTCCCAGCCCCTCATAATCAGGAGGGGCGAACTCAACGACCTCCGACCCTTGCAGAGATGTCTGACAGGTTCTCAGAGCTGTCGTCTCTGCCTGGGTCACCACTGCTTTGAGGTGGACCTGGTGGATCGGCACTCTGCAGCTCAGCGCTCCTCCTTTCCGCACTTGAAGCATGATGTGGGTCACAGTCTGGGCCTGGATTCATCCTTCACTGCCTTTAGGGGGTCCTTATGCCCAGGAGGGGAGGATTTACGCCACCTGCAGCCACCACGGTGTCTGTCTTGGGCTAGGCTGACCTCTACTTTGTCCACCAGCACTTTCCAACATTGTCGGGGTACGTGCAACCCCACGCGAGATGCAGGTGTGGTGGATGTCATTGTTGAGGCCATCTTTGAAGCAATCAATCAGGCCATGTGGCTAGCCGGCATGCCAACTCTCAGAACTTCTGGGTGTATGCAGCCAACAACCACCGACCTTGGGTGAGGGTCTTCATTCAGATCTGCCAGTGGGTCCTTGAAATGTTGGTGAATGGCTGCCATAAAGTGGTTGTAGTTCCGCAACTGGGGGGGCATTACTATGGAGGGAGACCGTCCATTCGGCTGTTGCACCCTTGAGAGCCATGGTCACGCATCTCACGCAGCCTGCCTCCAGCCCCAATTCAGCCCCACAGTCTTGCAGACTTGCACTAGAAGGAACCCAAGTTGCTTGGGGTCTCCCGTACTTCACTCCCAAAGCTAGGACCTTCGAGGCCCGGCACCTCTGAGGTGGAGGGGCTTGTGCAGCAGGAGCTGCTGCTGGTGGCACCGCTGGGGCTGTCACTGGTTCAGGCAGAGCAGGCGCGACGGCCGCTGTGACTGCTGCTGTGGCAGCTCCATCCCTGGC